CAGTGTGTGTGTACAGACCTTGCATGGTTATTGGTATTCTCATCAGGGCTTATCTCTGTTTTTATTTAAGAATTGTTACGTATTTACACCAGGTTTGGCTGAATTGCTGCTGTGACAGAAAGTGCTTTTTTGTAGACAACGATTTTACATTTTCCATTTTACTGTCTGGCTTTTTAACTGCTCACTGCGTTTCTGTTTTCCATTTGTTTACACCTTGCTCCTGCCAAGCTTTTCTTTAATACAAGATTTCAAAGCAATTTTTCCTTTGTATGTATAGATTTGCAGCTTCTTGAACACGGCACAGTCAAAATCAGTCAAACCCCTTTAAACTCCTCTGCAATTAGCTGGTGAAAGAAAAGGGGGGAAGAACGGCTCCCATGTCTTTTATTTATTTATTTATTTATTTTCCGCAGCACTTGGAGGAAAAACGTTCCTTTTTGTTTTATTAATGATGTGCTTATGAAATCGAGCGTTTGATGGTATGCACTTGGAGCAGGCAGAAGGCGAGCTTCCCCACGTCGCGCTGGCAGCGTGCTTCCTTTCTGATCTGTAGCGTGCTAGTTTATTCCAGATGTAGGCTTGCTCTGAACAGAGGCTGCCTGATGTACAATGGCTTCACGGTGGAGAAAGATGGCCTGCAGGGACCCACTTGAAGCTGCCAGCTGTATTCTCTATTCTCACTTGCGGTCTGTTACATAAGCTGACCCATTTTTTTTTTTGCTTGCAATTAATCCAAGTAGAATATTCATACTGTCTTTAAAAACATTTTAATTATTTGTAGCTTCGGCACTTTGAAGTTGAAGTTGATCAGCTTCAAGTGGAAAAATCTGGTCCAAAGGGCTGCCTGCTTGAGAGAGCCAAGTTAGGAGGAAAGTTGAGTCACCTAAGAGTGATGTAACTGCAGAGAACAAAAATTAGCCATTAGCCCAACTGCAGCCTGATTTGACCATTTGTGTTTCTGCTTGCTATGATGTGAGGAAAGTCAAAAAAGGTAGGTCTGGAAAGGACTTCAAGAGATGACCCAGTCTCGTCTCCTCCTCAGACCACAGAATCATAGAATGTTTGGGATGGAAGGGACCTTTAAAGCCCATCTAGTCCATCCCCCCTGCAATGGGCAGGAACATCTGCAACCAGATCAGGTTGCTCAGAGCCCCGTCCAGCCTGGCCTTGAATGTTTCCAAGGATGGGGCATCTACCACCTCTCTGGGCAACGCATTCCAGTGTTTTACCACCCTCAGATGTTGGTCCATCATGTCCATGAAACCCTTCCATCAAGAGGAATCCACAGTCCCTCTGCCAATGCAGGTCTACAGCTCTGAGTTTACAAGCAAAGTCCATGGGGTGGATCTGAGCACAGTTAACGGTTGCTCCCAGGAGATAGGGAACAAATCTCTAAAGGGAAATTTTGGCTTGTTATTCCTTTGACATTCTCAAAGCAAGCATGAATGTCTTTCTGAGTGTCCATCTTGGCTGAATCTCAGGTGAATTGCATGAGAATTTCTGGACTGTCATATACGGGTATTCAGCCCATGTTTTCTAGTGAGCCCTTTCCCCTTGGGTTCTCAAGTGCTGAGCTTTGTTATTGTGACCTGCCTTTGGTTAAGGGATATAGGTTAGTCTCCTTATTCTGAAGAGTGACCAGAGCTGGGTATTGCCTAGTCCCCGGCTGTGACAGGAGCTGGTGGTGCCTCTCTCTCTGTCCTTGCTGAGGATGTCTGGAGTTTGAGATACCTGGCTGGACTGGCATCAGCACACCTCTCTGCTTTAGGCATGAAATGCTTTTGCATCGAAGCGGGGGGGATTATTCGGAGTCATTTATAAATGAAGCTATGAGAATTACTCTGAGAGGATGGAAAAGTTCAGATGTTAATAGGAATACGAAACTGACAGTGGCCAAGCAGCAACCAGAATTGTGCAGCCGACCAGAGGAGACCGGTCAGCATTTAAACTCGTCCTCCTCTGGGCAGGGATTATGCAGGCTCCAAGGACAGTGACATCCGACCTGCAAACTGCCAAATCTAACTACACGTGGAGTTTCCCTCGGGTATTGTAAGTCTCTGGAGTGGGGTGAAGACACCAGAACTGTAGCTTTCATTTAAAGACTAAGTGGGCTTGTAGTCTTTTTATTTATGAAGGAAAGCTTGAAAACATGATCCTTTAAAAAATTTCAAAATTGAAGACGTGCATCACTCTGCTTTTTTTCCTTCTCTTTTTTTAAAGCGTTTAAACTTTGTGTTGTTCAACCTGGGAATCTCCAATAACTCAAGAAAACTGGCTTTAAGTAAAATTTAAATGCGTTTACAAATCCTTGGAATTGGCAGAGAGCTGTACTGTTAAGGCTTTCCTGTGATGGAGTCACATAAGATGCACATTGAAAGCAGTATCCCATGCTGCTCTGTGCAAAAGAGGTAGCAGCTTCATGAGGAGGGGAAGGGGGTTCTGCTGAACACCCCCTGCCTCCAAGAGGCCTCAAGCAAAGGCTAGCAATCCGCTTTTCAATACTTAGCTTTTAAAATCTTGCCGTGACGTACCTCGGAGGTACATGTGTATTGGTGGGGGGCGTTTGCTTTGTAGCACGTGGTTAAATGAAGAGCTATGAATGTTTTATGAAGAGGGAAAGAACAGTGAGGGGATCTGATTTCCAGTCGACGCCGAACTGTTTATTCCCAGTGAAATGCATGCAGCTGACCAGCGGGGACTCAAGGGATGATCTTTTCTTACACAGGAGATGGTGAGCGGGTCATTTGAAAATGAGTGAAAGAAATATGTGTTTGGATATGTGCCAAATGGTTTCGTTGTCTTTATTGTGGCTGCGTTCTGCTGCCCGTGTTCGGACTGAGTAATGCTTTACTTGCAAGTGCCTTTGATTTCAGTGGGAGTTCAAGGGGAACAAGATGGTGCTTGCATTAAGAGCAGCAGTGCCATTTGCTGCTATTAAGTGTTTTGCTATGTAATTGAATATTTGAGAGTGGGTCAGTTAAGAATAAATTTGGGATTTTTTTCCTTTTAATAAGATGTGTGATAGTGAGGAGTACTGAGGAATGCAAGCTAGGCACTGCGTGTCGTGGGCCTTTGCATAACTCACATTCCAAAAAGCTTTTGTAAATGCATTAAATGCAATTTTATGACTGCATTGTTAAACTTTACTGGAGGGTCTGCTTCCAAACTGGATTTAACAACAGGACACTCGGAGTGGCATCTTGTGTGAGGAGAAGATGGTCATCATTTCAGCCTGGGCTTGGTTGGGGAAGGCAGAGAGATGGTATTTCTCTGTTATAGTGTTTTCATTATGGGTGCAAGGTACTTCATAGCAATAAAACCTCTCTGGACCATTTTCATGCTGTAGCTCAGTTCTGTGTTTTAAGTAGATAAATATAGTTGACTCTTGCCCCTGCATTTAACACGGTGTCTCATGTATGACTGTAATTTATCTCAAAGTATTCTCTGTCCTGACATGTCCTGCTACTCAGCACAAGACTGTGCTTTTATCGATGCATTGCAGATCCCAGTTAAACCTGTTGGGATATTGCCATGTGCATAACTTTCAAGTTAACAAATTACCCACAGGTGTATATGTTTTCAGGCTCAAACTTTTGGGTTGCCTCTTAAGACACTTGGTTTGTTTTTCCTGTTTCTCCTACCTGTGGTCTAGGGGCTGTATAACGTTATTATTATTTTTCACTTTGTTCTTAAGATACTGGTGTAGAAACTGACCTCTTTGTTCCTGTATCTGAAAAACTCATCTTGCATTGCGTTTAAAAATTTCAGCATAGGGCCCCAGTGATCAGGTTAAAAAAGCACATTTTCTTCACTTAAAGGCTCTGATAAACAACATTCGCATCTGCAGGTTGCTGCCATAACCCTTGGGTTTGCTGATATATTTAGCAGTTCCCCTTCTCAGAAACAAGCAGCAGTTTGTACATGCTCTTCACAGTTTGGCATGAAATTTTAATCATCTTTGCTACTTGGGCATTTGCGTACTGTGAGAATGTTACTTGCGTGCAGCACAGACCCAGTCAGAAATAGCTGACCCGGTGCCTGGTGACTACAACACATGGCCTAAAAATTGCATCCAAATTGTGCATTTTGCTGTCTTGCAAGCTTGAAAACTTCGGAGGGTTTCTCATAAGCCTGGTTCTTTTCCTCTCTGAAAGAGTACTGGCAGTTGCCTTATGTGTCTTGCTTGCTTACCTGTTTTTCTCTTTCCTTTTTTGCTCTGCTGATATCTGCCACACTTGTGTTTCCTTGTGCCCAGTCCTGCTGGTAGGACTCATGGGAACTAGTTTTTGTTTTGCATTTCGTATTGCTCTGGAGATTGTAAAGCACTTTTTGGATAAATATTTATATAATTAAAAAAAATAATAAAGATGTCCTAAGCATTGCGTATTACCTTGCTTATACTGAAAAGTTATTCTCTGTGGTGGGTGAATTTATTATTTACAGTCTGTACAACAGCTGTCCCGTAAGAAATATTTGATCAGCAGCTGATAATTTGAAGCTGGTGTTTTCTTTCCTATGTCTCAAATCCTGCACACCCCTCCGGAGAGGGAAACGCTGCTGTGTGATGCCAGTCTGGTACCTGCTGCAATAGCAGCTGCGCTGCCCAGTGTTCAGGGTCCTCCTTGAACAACGTCTTGCTCCTCTGCAATCCTGCACAGCTCATCCTTGACATCTGGCGAAGGGGTTTGAGGCCACTGGTTGCTTCGGGAAGGATCAGGGCATTGAGAGCAGCACCTTTGCGTGGCTCAGAAAAGCTGCAAACAGCCCTGCAAGGAAACCTCTTCGTGCTGACCCTGCTCTGTGCTGCCTCCTCTTTTCTGCCTCCTTCGCTTGGACCACAGCTAACACAGCAAAGCTCAGCAAAAACACCCGTATAGCTTGAGCTATACAGATGTGTGGTGATGGGCAGCAAGGTGCTAAATAGCTCCCTCCTGTACGTTCCCAGCCCTCTCTCAGTGTCCAAATCCAAATTCAAGGACTCTCTGCACGTTTTCTCTCAGCGAGAAGGTTGCCGCATATGGAAGATGCACATCCTGAAGGGGACGGACGGGCTGGGAATCCAGATAACGGGAGGCAGAGGGTCGAAGCGGTCCCCTCACAGCATCATCATCACCCACGTGGAGGAAGGCGGCTCTGCACACAGGTGAGGCGGGAGTGATGGAGCATCCGTGGCCATCGCTGTTGGCCAGACCCATGAGACAGGTGTGGGGGTTTTGCCCTGCCATTGTGTGAGGGTGAGAATATGGCGTTTTTAGCTTAAAAACTTACTTTTGTGATTGGTCACTGAAGCTTCTTCCGATATGTTTAGTCCAAACTATAGAGAGATCAAACGCTTGGTGATGGAGTCTGATGGCTTGTGGGGCTTTTTCCCCAAGTCCATTTTTGGAGGATGGGCCTTTCCCATAGGATTGGTAGTGGGTGAGTGTGGGTTGTGCAACTTGGGGTGCTCGCTGCCAGCCCTGCCCTGCTCCCTGGTGCCGGGGAGGTGGGGCTCACTGCTGCTCCCTGACCATCTCCAGTGAGGCATAGGGAAGGCCTGAGGGGTCTCAGCCCTGCAAAGAGGGTGAAATGGCTCTGGTTATAAGAATGATTTCCTGGGGGCACCTTTCTGAGCCACTTTTTGGAGCAAATAATGCTGCACCCATCAATGCAACCTTAGCATCAGCCAGATCACGTGTTGTCCATGCCTCCATGTCTCACTGTGTGCCACCAGAGCCTGACACTGGGGAAGGACCACCCTGCAGCTCCATGTTCCCGCTTTGTTTCTGCAGGGACGGCAGGCTGACGGCAGGCGATGAGCTCCTCATGATCAACGGGCAGTCGCTGGTTGGGCTCTCCCATCAGGATGCTGTGGCTCTCCTTCGCTCGGCCGCTGGCCTCGTGCAGCTGGTGGTTGCTAGCAAGATACAGTCCTCTCCTTGGTGGTCTCCTGAATGTACATCCACAAGGGTTTGTGCAAGGGCTGCATGGAAAGGGCATATTTTTCATAGGGTATCACAAGTGCACGTTTACTCCCTTACGTTTAATGCACAGCTATGGAAAATATATCAGTAGCTGCCATAAATCTGTGGCAAATCGACAGGGTACAGACCAACTTAATGATTTGCTTGTATTGTCACTGTCATTCAGTGTGCAAATGAGTCTGTACTTATTCATGCAGACGTTACTTAAGTTTTGGCCAAAACCATTTTCTTAAAATACATGCTAAATAAAGCAGGCTGTTCTCAGCCTCTTCTGCTTCCTGCCTGTGTAGCCTCCGTAGCTCTCATCTCTTGTCCTATATGTGTGCCTGAGGTCTCTTGATGATGATCTCTTGGCTCAAATTCCTTATTTTGTCCTTGTTAATAGCTTGGAGTGAAGCTCTTGCAGATAAAGGAGCATGAAATTTCAGGGAAATGAGAGTGGAACTCATTTATCAGTCAGGCTCTTCGTTCTGCTTTCATCGCAGGAAAGGCTGAGGAGATATTATACAATATTTTGTCCTTTGTTTAAGAAAATCCTGCTTACCCATGTTTGCTCTCCTCCCTGGACTACAGCCTGCTGCTCCCCTGCTTGGGTTGATCCAGGCATTTGGTGGGTGGCCAAGTGGCTCCCGAAAGCATCTGGGGTCTCAAAGAAGGACCTGCCTGTAGGTGGGGGCCATCAGGGCCTTTGGGGTGGTGGCAGGAACATCTTGGGCCAAAGGGACCACTTATACACCTGCCTTTCCAGGTGGAGCATGAAGTGTCAGAAAGCCACTGTGTCAGTAATTTTAAAATTTTTCTTACCTTCATAGAATTATACAATCATTAAGGTTGGAAAAGACCTTTAAGATCATCGAGTCCAACCATTAACCCAGCACTGCCAAGTCCACCACTAAACTATGTCCTCAAGCACCACATCTACCCGTCTTTCAAATACCTCCAGGGATGGAGACTCAACCACTTCCCTGGGCAGCCTGATCCAGCGCCTGACAACCCCTTTGGTGAAGAAGTTGTTCCTAATATCCAAACTAAACCTCCTTGTGCTCTAGACCCTTCACCAGCTTCGTTACCCTTCTCTGGACATGCTCCAGCACCTTGATGTCCTTCTTGGAGTGAGGGGCCCAAAACTGAACACAGGACTTGAGGTGCGGCCTCACCAGTGCCGAGTACAGGGGCACTGTCACCTCCCTGGTCCTGCTGGCCACACTATTCCTGATACAAGCC